TGATGTTAGCTGTTTGCTACTTATTGTTTTTTTTTACGCTCCACTAATCTCAATTTGTTTCATTTTACTTATAGATGTCCCTTCGTGCCGCCTGTACCTCAAAAATTTATTCCGCGAAAAACAAATCGAATATGGCTCCCGTGGTCCAAGTTCCGTCTTGCCACCCACCATACGTGTTCCATCCTGCTACCTATACCCCTACCAAGTTTGAACGCTCTGGGACCAAAATGACAATTTTTGCAAGCCCCTGTGGGTAGACCCTAGTCCTACCACCTATCATCATCGCTCTCATTGTGCCGTCTGTGCCATTACGGAATTCAGCTACTCTAGGTCCAAATTAACAGTTTTCGCTCTTGCTCCGCTACCTGTGTCTTCCCCCCCTTCTTATGAGAAGTTGTATAATCGGCCGATTCGTCACTCCTTCATTGAAATAAATAATGGCTGATACTATTCTGTACACGAAATTTGACACATGGCTAATAGGACAGGGCAAGTGACCTTGGAAGTGTGCCGATGCTTATGCCTATGAATAGAAGTCTCGATATGCTGTCCTTCATGTTAGAAATAATCACCCACTGGAAATTCAACTATTGGGTAACTAAAGTCTTCAAATGTTGTGACTAGTAATAACACCAATCTCAAGTGTTGTTATCTATAGAAATTTTTTTTCCAAGAATATATCAATAATGGGAAACCCCAAATTATTGATGGTCGGATAAGTTCTGTAACAAATGATAACGAACACCGAGAAACTTCGCTGAGTCGCAAACCTCGCTAGATAGCGGTCGTAATCTAACAGCAATTAATGAAAGGAATTTTTATCTTTTAATGAAGAAGATTTTTCGAATGGTCCCTAACACTGATTGACCGCTCATTTTTTATCAACCTACTTTACCATCCCTCCTTAGCGAATGAAACGCACTGAAAAGTCAAGACTACATATTTGAAGGCACAGTTCACGATAATTTTGAGGCCCCCTTTTTAGGTTGAAAAGCGGAAGTGTTGATGTACAGCCGGAAGTGTTGTTGTACATCGGTGGCGAAGAAAGCGAGAAAATCCGCCGACTTCAAGCTTTTGAGAAGTAGCGGAAGTGGAGGCTGTATGAGGTCACCGTGACAGTAATGCATGTATGGGGTGTTTTCAGCGAGACTCAACTTGCTTCCATCGTGCAAAGTGATGACTACATCGAGACATAACTGTCCAGAATTTGTCGTTATGGGTCATGAAAAGTTGTTATAACTCCCTACATTGGTTCCCTTGTGAATGGTGCAGCCTCTACAAAGCCGTTGAGACTGGTCCACTAGGGGTGTGCCATTCAACACCCCTAGTGGACGAACCTCGACGGTTCCTTATTCTGCCCTATCCAGGAAATTTTTCGCCCTTATAGCAACAGGTATGGTATAAGGAGAAGCCTCGAATTCATACTATAGGGAAGTCTAAGAAAACATTTCTATCGTGAACTGTGCCTCTAATACCGAAATGCTCGTTGGGGCTTCATTTGGTAGATGGCTCTCGCTTTCTGGAGATCCTTATTAGCTCTTATCAGTTATTATCAGTTTTTGCACAGAGTACCTAAGACCTCGTTACATCCCACATCACCTATTAAAATGTCAAGGTTTCGCTGGTGACGCGAAGGATGCCACAGACCTATTGGCTCTCGTCTACTATGGCTCCTCATCAGTCTCTTGTTATCAATTCCCATCACGAAGCATCTAAGCTTATTTCTTAACCCACACCTCCTACTAAAATGACAAGGCTTCACTGCTAACATGAAGAATGTAAAAGTCTCACGCCTCTTGCCTTTCAAGGCTTATTATCAGCCGTATCAATCGCCATCACTTCCTATCACTTATCATCTGTGTTCCCATCCTGCCGCCTCCACTCCTGCTAAATCTGAACGCTCTCGGTCCACAGGAACAGGAGCTTTGGTGTCCACATCCTGCTGTAAGGAGCACAGGCGGCAGGACGAGAAATGAAACTCTATATGCACGGGAGCAGAACATATAAATTTCCGGTAGGACACACACACGCACACACGCACACACGTACACACATACATACATACATACACATACATACATACACACAAACACATACACACAAACAAATACGAACACACAGAAATTAGCGCGTTATATAAAGTAAGATTACTGTATTTTGAGGAAGTCCATTCTCTGAACTCCTCGCCCACAAAAAGCGGAGCTCGGCTTGAATTGGATGAGTTCCAAGAGGCTAGCCTCGCCAACCTGCCCGCCAGATCTAAAACCATTGTGATGCGACTATTAACTCAGATGGACAAAGGATGAACAGACGGAGCACACGCAGGTAGTAGTTTGTAATCCAAAAAAAGCTCTCGGGCAAAAATTTTTTGTTAACTACACTTAATTCTTACTGATTTGATAACAGGCAGGTCTGTATGCAATCTGCATAGCTATCTAGGGTAAGACTACTACTACACTAGAGATGATCAGGGCTCCATGCAGTACGACCTGCGATTATTCGTATTAAAGAGGCGAGAATAACGACGCAAAATTTCTTGTGAGTTTAATAAGGTCCGTAAGGAAGGCGATGAAATGCAAAAGAGAAGCAGTATCAATCTAATTCCAGTTCGGATGGTCTAAAAGGAAAGCGTTTTTGAGGGTAGGGCTATTAAGATATGCTGTTCGCGATGAGTAATCAGAAGTTTGGGAACGGAGCTGGGCATATCGAATTCGTTGATGCAGAGGATGTCAAGGAAAGGCTTCAGTGCCAGCTTTATTTAAGTAGAAATGCCATTTCATTTCCTACAGCGCAGGGGCAAAAACGCAGAAGATTGCCGACAGTTACTTTTCTCAACGAGGAAGCTTACGCGATAAAGTAACTCTTCAATAGCCAGAACTACCCCTTCTGACCAGAAACATCGAAAGCGCCAGCGCGGGCGAAAAAAATGGTGATAAGAACAGCAAAGCGATGGTTCGGATAGGGAGTAGCGGGCAATGGTAAGCCATCGCTGGTGTATCACAGTACCTTCGCGGAAGTTAACAAAGAAGGGTACCTTAAAAGTATACTAATAGCGGCCTTGATCAAAATCCCTTTTCCAAAACACCCCAAGGTACTTTCAACAGGGAGCCACTCTAGCCCGCAAAACCCAGCCCGTCCTGGTATTGCACCGTGGTGAACTGCCCCACTTCATCAGCATTGAGTAACGGTCATCCTGTCCACCAGACCTAAATCCGTTTTACTATTGTGGTACCTAATTTAAGAGGAAACCTTCGAGTTCGCTATCCTAGTTTGGATCCCTTGAAATTGAAGAACGGGTGGTAGGGATTGAAGTATCCCTGGATGAAACATGCAAGAAATTCGGGAACAGATTTCGAGGATGTATCTGTGCAAACGGAGCATATAAGGAGGCCCTGGCATGCTGTTACCCATAACGTAAACACAAGCATGTAAATACTTGTGTAATTATTTTGAGCTTAAATGCCCAAAGTACGTAGCAATTAATAAGTCCCGTAATTTTGGGATTCCTTGTAGTACGGGAGGTATCTGGTGGGGATACGCAACTTATCGCTGCCAAGCCTGACCCGCTGGAGAGCTGATTGTAAAGATGACCTACTCACAACGGTCAACTGATTTACGCTTAGCAAATTCGGTGCAACTCAATTACGCATGATCTATCATCTTTTATTGTAGACTCAATGGGGTGCTTCAAATGCATAAACTTTTAAAACGAATTCAAAATAAGTCTACCTCAAATAAATACATAAAAATGAATTTCCATTGGCACGAAGAAGCTGTCCCAGTTTGCATCGGACTGATAAGTAGACCTTGAAAACCTCATAAAGCGGATGTCCTGAATTCTCATAGTACCGATCCCTGGCAAGCTTCTGATATTCAATTTCCTTTTGCATTTAAAATGAGCTGCTTCCAAACCTGAACAGCTGGTGAATAACACTTACTGTTAGCTTTTTTGCATGGTCTGCACTCATTAATTGTCAAGGGTGCGAGCACCAGTAGAGCGCCGATTTTTCTTACGCAGTACTCAAAGGAAGGAGTGTCGAGAAAAAACACTTCAGGATGACGCGATGCCGTTCTCTGAAAACTATCGAAAATCGCATCGGGAAACCGGTAAATTCCTATCTACCATCGATCATCATATAGTGAGAGTGACGTTCCAGAAATGCCTTCATGTACTTCTCTTTTCACTAGTCTCTTCAAACGAGTCAATACGCTCTGATCTTATTACCAGAGGCTAAGATATGAAGAGCCCTCTGAGTATTTGATGAAAATTGGACCTGAACTCATGTTCTTTGCTGCGTTGTGAGCATAGATGTGATCCAAAGTATTACTCTCAGCTTCTTGTTGGTGAATTTACTTGCCTTCCATATGACTACATTCACTCGTAGCACCTGAAGAGCCTGTTAGCCTATATTGGCTATCGAAGTGTGAAGTTGTTCTGGTAAGATCGATTTAGCCTGTTTTGTTCCTTTCCAATAATTCTGCGATTAAATCATGAACAATGTTGCTGCAGTCTTGCCATTGGAGCGATCCATCAACGGAACATCCGTCCATCGTACCACCAAAAAGACGCTGATAAGATTACACATATAAACGGCGCCTACAATGTTATCAACTGGTGTAACGTTCCTTTTGATGGCCTCCAGTCTTTTTTTCGTTAACACTTCTTGAAAGAATCAATGTACCTTGCTAGTTCAATCACTGCATAGGGTTGAATTCAAGACTTCTCACATGTTTCACCTCGCTTTTGCTTCACGCTGCTGCTAAGAGTACGTGAAGTTCAGTTCTGATGGAAGTGTCTCCTTGTGATATCGTGGGAACTCATCATTTTGCTGATCATTTTGTAGCTTTTCGGATTCCCCAATTGAAGCTTTTCCGTTCTTCCAAAATTGGCAGATAGAGTGAACACGGATCTCTGTGACGGATAAAAGGCTTGATGCGAATTGCGTATTTTATTCCTCTTTCGAAGACGAAACAGATCAACTTCACCTCCACTTTTAGGTATGCCATCATTCCTGGAAGTAGCAACTAACTTTAGTTATGAAAGTGCCAAAGAGTACACGAGAAGCGTGGAACGACCCACATTCTACATTTCCATGGCGTACGTCGTTGTCATATTCAGCACTAAAGCAATTATGACGAATTTCAAGCCATTCCAAGTAAGTGCCGAAGGTCGGCAGAAGTTTAGACGCTACAGGTTAACTAATATCAATCATTATAGCTGACCTCCGCTTTGAACTTCTGGAATGCTTGGTTGGCCATTTTCAGTACAATTGGAAGTATTATCACAGGATATGGTTTATTCTACGAAATCTACTACAGAGGATTAGTATGTAAGTTACAATAATTGCAAATTAAGAAATGGTACTCATTCCGGCAAATGCCTAGGAATGGCACTTCCGACAGACAGTGTTCCTAGAGTGTTATATTATATAATAGACGGTGTCATATACCAGAGTCGCTCCGGCGGTTGAAAAGTCGACGAGAGTTGTTCCCGAAGAAACCCCTAAAGGAATCCTTTCCCTCCTTTCCTAGCTGACTGTTTTGCGAATTGGTCAATATACCAAAAAGATAAGTCAAACCTCATTTTCTCAACTGAAACGGAAGGTATTGCCCTCAAATGAAGGCTGTTAATAGCTAGGCAAATGTACTCCAATAGATGTTCCAACGTCGAAAATAAATTCATGGGACGATTTCCAAACGTCCAATTGTAAGTGAAACAAGTTGGGAATAGATTGGGAAGATTGAAATGTTCCGAAATAACTCAGTGATATTTTAAAATCTAAGTGATCGCTCAATCCAATCAATTATTCAAGTAAGAGCTTCATGGGAGAAATCTTCAGCGTTAAAAGATCAAAAAGTCCCTCTCGATGAAGAATATGGAGTTTATATAACAGGTTCGGTTGGTCTGAAATGAACTAGGACTTAGGTGGTGTTATTCGAAGCTCACATTTGTTGCGATACATAGTCATAAACATCCTTCCGTTTAAAAGTTGCGTCGCGACAACGCTCAAGGTGAATCAGCCAACTTCAGAAACCTACTTTCTTCAGTATCAAAAGACTCCATACCTGCATGCGAAGTGCATTTGATGAAGAACCTAAGAAGCCAAATATTGAAGTGACATCAAAAAACGGTGCAACAATTGCAGCTTCCTATACTCATTGTGGCGATTACTTCGATGGTTATAGTGGACTGCTGACATTCCTGTTCGTGATGAGCAAAGTACTCGAATTTGGGGATACAATACTCTTGGTACTACGAAAGAAACCACTCATTTTCTTGCATTGGTAGGTCACAATTTCCTAAACAAATTTGCGAAACATCTCAAATCTCTGCATTTGAGGTATCACCATGTTTTGACTATGAACTATGCCATTATGTCGTACTCGCACGATATCGCTTACAACAGCTGGATCACTTGGATGAATTTTACGGTTCACTCAATTATGTATGGGTGAGTCGGAAATAGATCGAATGTGTTCATTTTTTATTTATTTAATAACCTAACCACACGAACAGTGAATCAATAAAAGCAAAAGCATCAGTGGAATATTAGTGGCTCTCTTCATCAAGGGATTCCGCTTCAGATATTATATGCTGCGCTCGATGGGTGTGAGAGTTCCTGCTTGGGTGGCCAAGAACATCACAACAATGCAGATCCTACAGTTCGTAATCACACATGTGATACTCTTCCATGTTGGATACCTCGTCAGTCAAGGAGTAAAAGTGGACAGCACACCAACAGTCTTCTGGTCAGTGATCTTCTTTCACAAATCCACAGCAGTTTCAACAACCTATTAGTCGACCATATAACTTTGACTACGAAATTAAAAATCCTTTAAAGAGAAAACAAATAAAACAAATCATGTGAAAATTTGAAATCCCCTCCTCTTCGAGTAACGGAAGAGTGCTCCCTATTTGTTTCTTTTTTTGAACTACTTGAAGTAGTTAAGAGTTTAGGAATTCCTGCTTGGCACAGGTTCCTCTTGAAGATGCAGAGGGTATAAGCAACTCATACAACGACATGATCAATGAATATTGTGCTGAAAAATGGGCAATATAAGAGAAAACCAAAAAGGCAATATAGTCGAAGATTCGGCTCTTCCTTACAGTTGTTTCATTCGGGTGCGGGGTTGAAACGATTTCCAACCCTCCAATTTCTCTTACCATAAAAGCACTCAATGGTGTTGGATCAATCCAAAGAGACCTCTCTCGGGCAGTCTTAATTAAATGAGATGCAAAAAAAAAATCAGTTCATCAACATCGCATACTTCAAGCGAATTCGAACCTGGGATGATCCTCTATTAAACGGAGCGCTGCAACGGAAAAAAGGCGCAGGGAGCAGAACACCTGAAGAGGCAGGGTTTTTTTATTCCTACTCATAGGCATTGCAGTCTACTTTGTGATTCTCCTGAAAAGTTCAGTAATCTTCCCACCCTATGATGCGCATATTCTACTACAGCCAATTTTCTAGTTCTTCCAATCCACTTTCTAGTTCATGTAATCAGTTTCTTACTTATTTTACTTCGGAGTCCCATTTCGTAGCCTCAATGACGCCCATCGCACCACAGATGGATATGCACATTCACAAAAGCTCTGACAGCGAAGTTGGGTTCAACGTTGATATGCTGGCGAGCATGGCAACGTTTAACTCAACTTCGATGATTTCGAGGATCTGTGGCCTTATTGAGCAGACACATCGACGCCGAACGTAGCCAAACACTTTTCACTAAATCTTTGATGAGTGATACCGCAGTCGTCATCTACCCAACTGTTTCTCTTCCTCTATAAACCTGTGACCATTATTTTCATGGAACCTCGTTGGAGCATATGAAGTAATAAGCTTTCTTCTGGCCATGTGTCGATTCTGAACAATTTTTTCCAGGTGCTGTCTCGCTATGGAATTTTCTTATGTGGTCTTGTTTGGAAACTTCTACTTCCAATCTTACATCAAGGGAGGAGGCAAAAAGTTCATTCAAGAAAAAACCAAGAAGCAGTAGAGTCACACGTGTGTCATCGTTTCAATGTCTCTCCTATACGGATATATTGGTTTGACAAGATGGCAAAGCCGATGTACATTGTGCAGCACCGTTATCGTACATTGAATAAAGTGGATTGCAACACCGTTATCGTACATTGAATAAAGTGGATCTTTATAAAGCTACCCATTGGAGGAAGAATTTCATGATTCCCCCCTTCATCCGGTATAGTTTACGAGATTTCACTGCCTGTACAGTTGGTTACGAAGGAGAGGTCTCGCCATTTTCTACAAGCATCAGCAACATTAGGCATTTCACATTGGTGTTAGTTAATACTTCCTCGAGAAGAGCACCGTAATAATGTAGCCCCTTACAATCGGTTTGAACCTTATACGATTTAATTATATTTTTCTACATACCTCCAGGTCGTACAGAGGAAAAAAATTATCAAAAGGCGGATCCCTCTGAGTGAGGCCAATTAGGCTGCGGGTTTGTCTGATTCTCGCTGCGCTGTCTGATCATAAACCGTAAAAGGTACTATGATCTCCGCTGAACTGCACTGCGTACTTCGTTCAACTCGATCTTTGATTCTTTGGCTGCTTCAGCCACATTTCCAGCTGTTGACGAAGTCGAAGCGCCGTCTTCTGATTGTGTGGTACCACTTCATAGACATAAATGATTCGAAGTGCCGTGCTGTTCAGTCGTTTTGAAGTCGGGCAATCCTTCAAACTAATTAGCATTCCTTCAACTTGTAATGTGTCACGCAAGAAAAAAATAAACCAGACTAATCAGCGGTGTCCCGTCGAAGTCTGTAAGGCTTTTCGAGGAAAACAGCGTAAATCATAATATACCTTGCCTTTTTAAGTTCTACCTCGCTTTTTTGAACCCTCTACTAGAGACTGTTCCTTTTCAATAAGCTAAGAGTAGGCCTGCCCATACATGAAATCGCAACGTGCTTGATGATAGCGGTCATCGAGTCGCAGCTTTCACGTACAGCAAGGCGTTGTAGCCGTTATCATACGTGTAGAAGATTGGAGACATGTGTCACAAAAGAACCGCATTATACCGAACTTTTGGAGAACCTCTTATGGAGTAGAATAGTGGGTGGGTCTGAATCAACTTGGACTTCATTCGATTTAGTGTCAAAGCTAACCTACAAAAGTTATTAGGTCATCTCCTCGTTTCATCACGCAATCCAATAGAGGAATATATTCGTGAAGGCACCGGCCATGATACAGTCAATGGAGCCAACAATGTGGTGGAACGATCGGACCAGAGTCATGGTGTTGGCGGAGTTTCCAAAATTTCATTGCTTTTGGCTATGAACTGCTTCAGCTCTACGTGTTAGGTGAAGACAACGTGCAGGGGCTAAGACGAGTGGGAAAATGTCGATGCACTTTTTATCCCATAAGAGAGCTTCACCAAAGCGTTTCTGCAACTCAATCTCGTCGTTACCATTGGCTTGAAATCTCGGTTTTGGGTACGGAAATCGCTACTGGTTGTCAGAGACCATTGTTTTCAGACGTCATTTCTTCAGAGCATTTTCACTCCCTTCACAACCGAGCGGGATCGTATTCAGGGAAAGCACATGTAATAGTTAAAGGGGTGGATGGCCAAATTTTTGTTGAGACGTTCTCAAAGTAGTCCTATCATTGCTCTCCTGCGCTTGTGGTCCAACCTTCAGGATTCTCCCGATGTCTTCGGCGAGACAAAGTTGGCAACTGGGTGTGAAAAAGCGTAGACAGGAAAGTAAATCTACCGTTCACTGTTTACGTGTATTTCTAGTTTCTCATTGTAATCGAAGAGTACTTTTTTGTGCATACATGCTTGCATCTTTCAGGGGAATGTTGCTCTCTGCACCATCTATCCCGACGCAGTTCAGCCTCCATTTTGGGACTTTTACCGAGCTCACATGTGCTCGTTCCATTTCGCCCTGTACCCAAACCATGCCTGACTGGAAGTCTCTAGACGTTTCCTTGGGTGAAAGAAGGACTTCGCGACAGATAGTCAGAGAGGCATAAACTTTTCACATCACCTGTATCCCTCCGGCTTCTTAGATGCTTTTAAATGCGAAGGCCCCTTTGGGACGGCCGAGGCAAGGCTCGAGTCTTTTCCCGCCAGGAGCCCCTTGCTCCTTAGGAGCTGGTCCGCCCACCTGTAGGGTGTGTGCAGGATGGGCGTGGTGGTCCGAGGAGGNGGGGGGGGGGGGGGGGGGGGGGAGGCCAGCAGATCTGAGGGCACTGCGACACTGCTGGTGTTCACTAGAGCGGCACTGAAAAATTGAAAGAAGAGAAAAATATTTCCGTGCCAATTCTTCCTTCACGTTAACATCGACTTCCTTGTAGAATGGCGAAACCCTGGTGATAGAGATGAAAGGCAGTCCGCTCGGCTGTCTTTTATCTGGTATTCTGCAAAACCTGTTACGGATTGCTTATAGTTGTCAAGTTTCGAACCGGACAATGCTTCGTTTGAAACGATGCCCATGGCCAAGTGCGCGACTGGCTGCTTCCATTGTCAGCCGCGCCGGCATGCCGAGGCAGTGCTGGGGTGGGGAGGAGGAAGGCAGACGGTCGGTCAGTCCCTTCGAAGGGCTGAAAACAAAGGAGAACAAGATCAAAGACCAAACAACCAGAGGCTTGTGCAAATGGTTTTTGATCTTATTTCTCTTTGTCCACAGCCCTTCGAAGAGGCTGCCC